AATTAAATCCATATATACGACTTAATTTGTCTTGTTGGTTACAATAATACATACAGTGGGGAGAACAAGTATTTGATACACTGTTGATTTTTCAGGTTTTCCCACTTGCAAAGCTTGTAGATGACTGTAATTTTTATCATAGTTACTCTTCAACAGTGAGTGATGGAACACCAGTGATGTTATGTGAATAGGTTCTCAGTAGTACTGACAGAATTTGGTTGGTACTTATAAAAGTATCGAATTCGGTACCCATCCCTAAGAGATAACTGCATTTAAAGAAGTAAATATATTTTTACTCAATATAAAAACTAACAGAAGATTGTTGCTAAAAGTAGATTTAATGTGTGTTCAGCAGGTTTTTACACAGATGTAGTGTATGTTACAATATCTATGAATGTGTTGATGTTTGGTCTCTGCAGCTCTCAGTGCTGGATCCTCATTTCCTGCAAGAAGATTTTATTTTATTTATGACTTTAAGAGCTGGACTGATGCTCAGACTTACTGCAGACAGRAMTACACAGACCTGGTGACCATAGAGGACATGGAGGACGTGAACATCCTGAACAACATGAAGAACTTGAGCAGAATGGTCTACCCATTATACAGCTCTGTGAGTTCACTGTTTAAAACTGAAACTGATCAGATTCACTGCAGGTTATTAGTGATTGTCACAGAAACTTGTTAACAGTTATTGGATAAATATTATCTGTTTTTATGTATTTAATCATGAAAAYAAGTTTGTAAATGAAGCAGATTAAATAAAAAAATGTTCTCAGSCTGAGCAGCAGAGCTACTGTAAATGTAAAAATAAAGTATTTGTGTTGAATTTGTTGAAGAGTTTGAACAAAGAACATTAGTTACTGTGATGTTGAAGCTGTGTTTGTTTGTCCAGAGAGCCTGGCATGGATTGTACAATGATGGGAACGGTTGGAGGTGGTCAGATGGAAGCAGCTCCTCCTTCAGGTTCTGGGATAAAGGGAAACCATACTACGCCAACTACTGTGCAACATCAAATTATAGAGTCTCTGGAGGATGGGAGGACTGGAACTGTCAAGAGAAGAAGGCTTTTGTTTGCTACGACAGTAAGTTACAGCTCAGGTTTTCAGTTTGATGATGTTCTGTTTGAAGATAAAGTTGATCCAGTTCTGAATTAAATGTTCAGAGGATGTAAAGCTGCGTTCACAACAAATGTGATTTGAGTGTCAAAAACCTGTCCAACACTTCAAGTTRGATGTTTGAGCACTCTGAGGTCAGACACTCRTCAAAACTGCTCTGAGCCTCCTCCCCCTCCTCTGCCAGTCTTTGTTTAATGGTGGATGAAATAAAGAAAGTGGCTTTGCTTTATTTACTGACAGCAAGAGCACATCACATCCACCAGATGATTAATTCACCAGTGTGGAGTGTGACAAATAAAAGCTAGCCAAAATATGCCACAAAATGTTTTAATGTGAACAGTCCCTCCCCATTTAGTTATCTATGTTACTTTTTTATTGTCTCCTAATCCCCCTGTGTGTGTGTGTGTGTGTGTGTGTGTGTGTGTGTGTGTGTGTGTGTGTGTGTG